GCACGGAGAGAGTAATTGGAGTGAGGCACTGGGGGACACAATGGACGATGTGGCCATGGTGGCGGCGCTGCAGCTGGTGTGAAAAAGGAGAGGTCCTGCACGCGCTTACCCGGGACTCCAGGATCTGTGGTCCATGGTGACGGCTCTCCACTGATCCCTGGGCCGGCTCTGCTGCTGTGTGCTGGTGCACGGTGTCTTGGTGGACACAGCACCCGCAGGCCCTAATCCTTATCTTGGGGACCTTGACCATGCCATGACCCCCCCCCCTTTTTTAGCCACACGGCAAGCGGTGTCTTGTTGCTCTGTTGTTTTTGTCCCTTACTGCTGCTGGAACACTGGAATTTCCCCACTGTGGGATCAATAAAGTTCTACCCTACCCTACCCTACCATAGAAAAACAAACAGGGAGATGGGCTCAGTCACATTCATCTGAGAAAAATGCAATGGTGACAAAAAACAAAACAAAAAAAAAACAACCCTGACCAGGCTGACCAACTCTGACAGTGAGTTTCTGTAGTTACTAACCAACCAACCTGCAAATCCTGTGTCTGGATTCTTCTTCTTCTTCTTCCTCCTCTCCCAGCGCTCGGCATCGTCAGCAGTGATCTCCAGTAGTTTTACTCTGTTGTAGTCTTCCCCTCTGGCAGCACATTCCTGAGAGCCAAAGATTTTTTTTTTTAAACAAAGACAAAGCAGGAATACATGTATATGAAGTGAAAAGTAAAAATCGTGGCATTTGGGGCAATTTACTGTATATGAAAATGACCAAATAAACTTCTTTTATGTGCTACTTCATGAGCTAATTTTCTCCAGGCTGAGGTTGTGGAATTATTAAAATTCACTGTGGACCAAACAACAGGAGTCACATAAGTGTCAGCCAATTCGAGCCTAATACACTGTGTGCACTTAGAAGTTCATGTGTGGTCTTCTAGATGAGACTAAGTAAGAACAATGTGTGAATGAAATATTTTGTAGTCACTTCATTATGTTAACACTTTGCTTTAGTCAGTCAATCTTACAGTAAAATGATTAGCGACTTCCACCAGAATCACACAAAATGTTTTTTTTTTTATCATTCTGGGCACATTTTAATCTTAAGAAAAATTAAGTTGTTTTGTGCATATGAAGGGTATGGGTTCAGGTAATACACCATTAATGAACACTACTAATTAGAATTTTTACATAAATCTGCAATGTTCAAAATCAGATAATGTCCTTGCTCCTAGACTGATAATAATTTAATTATATTACCCTGTCCTACCTCCAATGCACCTCTTCTTGAGCAAACTGCACCCATGCTTTGTGGTAATTTTACAGTACTTCCCCTTTATGTCTGGTACAGCGTATCCATGTGTGGGGCAAGAGAGGACATAAAACAACTCTCAGTCTACAGCTTTGCTAACTGTTGGCACTAACTCTAGCTGATCGTCATAAATCTCAACAATCTGGCCAACAACATCTTGTCCACTTGCTGAATATGCAAAATACTATTTAGCTTATGGATGCTTTAACCACTTCTTAAGACTGAATTACCTTTTTCTTTTGATCTTCAGCAAGTTCCCATTCCAGTCTGGCTTTCTTAGCCTCCCAGTTAGCAGGGAGTTTCAGTCTCTTGTCCTCCTCCACAACCTCCTTGTGATTGAGTTTATGTGCTTCATTCTGCAGTGGGAAATACACAAAATACTTTAGGGATGCACCAATGTGGATACTAGTATTGGTATTGGGTCCGATATCACCTTCTAGTACTGTAGTCGCTACCCCTAAAAGTTGTCTGATACTACGCGTCAGTACTTCTTAACGGCAGCATTACATTAAGCTCACGCTGGCTGAGCTGCTCGTTAGAGGATGGAGAAGAAATTTCAGCGGTGCATGGATATTACAAAATAAGTGATGACAACAAAAGTAAAGCCAACTGTGAGCTGCGATTCTCTACTCTGTCTGTGGCATAGAGGGAGGGCACATGTATAGCAGACAGGATGAAGAGGTACAATAAGTACTTTACTGTGACAACAATACTTGATATGTGCAACAAAATCCAGCAGCAATGGTAAAGGTAATTAGTCAAATACCAGTTGAACAAGCTGAGCACAACAAAAAACTTGCAAAAATGTGACATCTTCACTCTGCCCGCGGTCAAAATGCCACTAAACCCACATGGTGCTTGTTATGCTGATTGTAGCAAATTGATGAGAACAATAAAAAACAAACGCTCATTTTATGTAGTTAACAGCAGAGTCTGATGAGCTGTGTGTATGAAAATGAGTTGAATCCTTGTGGACTTGGATGCTGAGACCAACAGCTCCTCTGCGGCAGTGCAGGTGTGTGTCCAGCAGAGAGGACAGGACAAAGCCAGTTTAAAGTAAGAACATGTACCTTTGTTAAGTTAAAGTGTTAAATTGCAGAATGTGATGTTATGCATGCCAAAATGTGCCATTCTGGGTAGGGTTGTGAAATAATTTCATCCAAACAGAGGGTTGTACTCCTATAAACCACTGTATTACAGTATGCTGTGTAGTAGGCTACAAATCTTCAGTCAGTTATGTTATACTCAATAGGAATGATGGCAGTACTGTGTTTATCACAGTTTCACAGCCCCTTGTTATAATTTAATCAGAAGGTAAATCTCACAGAATTATAAACTGTCTAAAGTGTTTCATGTAACTGGTGAATTTAGGCGGTGTGTTTACCTAAACATGCTTATTTACTGAGAGTCTGAGCAGTTAAATGACACCAAAACATTGCTTCAGTGCTTCTTAAGTTGAAATGTGGTGCTTACCCACTCTGTCACCACCACATAGACAAAGAATTAACAAAAACACTATAACCAAAGATAGTCTCTACCTCACATATGTATTTTAATCAGATAACAATAAACAACTCACCCGTTTGAAATGTAACTCTCGAAACTTTCGTAGTCTCGCTTCTCTTTTCTGGGACGCAAGATGTTCAGTCGGTTCTTCGTCTGAGGCTGTAACCTTAGCAGACTCCTGCAAATAGCCACAGTTACTATTTTTTAAGGAAAATACTAAATAAACTGAAACAAACCAAAACACAAAGCGGCTTTTACAAACGAGAGAGTGGAATATATCTAGCAAAAATACAGTTATAAAAATGATCTCCCGCAGTGGGGAGCTAACACTCTCGCTAACATCGGCTAGCTTAGAACAACAATACGAGATTGTAAACATGAAGTGTAGAACGAAAACAAACATTTCTACGGTTAAACGTCACAATGTTCCCAATGTGATGATATCAATAGACTACAGTCTACCACAATATCAAAATAAGAGGATAATTTGAGAACAAAACAGAGGAACAACTAACCTCACTACAAGATGCCATTATTGTGCTAATAACACGTAGGAAAAAGACAGGAAGTGTGATGGACGTTACCGGATATGACGAATACAATGATCGTAAACGCCTACGTATTAATATTATTTAAATAAACAAATACATGCAAATTTGCCGGGGAGCTCTGCCTATTACTTAAAAAAATAACTGAATAAATTTATGTGAAGCAATCCTCTGCTAGAAATTACACAAACATTACATAACAACAACAACAAATAAAAATTAATACAACCTGTCCTAACTTTATTTTTTACCCAACTGTTTTTACTGTTAAGTTATTCTATTAGATTGATTACTGTTCCTCTATTATAATTTCAGAAATATCTCTCATAATGTTTATGTGTATGCACCAGTGAAAAGTAATTTGAACTCAACTGTATTTCTTTCTATCATTTTCACCTGATAAAGACAAAACATTCATTTCACTCTTGTAACATTTGCTATCATTTGTTTATAGTCACAAAATTGCAACACATCTTTATTTAATTTTCATATTATTTGTTATGTTATGTTAGGTTATGTTCATTGAGTTACCTTTGTGTTTTGTGTGACCTAGGACATAGTTTGAAGCTTTTTACTCTAGTTAAGAAAGTGCAGGGGGATTCTGATCTGTTGCCTTTTTAGGTAGAAAAAACACCACATTAAAAGTGTGCTGTGGCAATGGTGATAAAGAAGGCCATGTAACAATATAAGACAATTTCTTAAGATCAGACACCTATGGTAAAAACACATTCTTTGGTGTTCACATTTAAATTGATGTATAGCTCAGTATAAATTGAAACAGTTTATCCTGTACCACCCTCCCCTGTCATAAAGTAGTAAAAATATTTGTGCATGTTTAGACTCTCATAAAGACAGTGTTTGGTGGGTGGGGCGACACTGGTGCGGTGGGTAGAGCAGTCATCCCCCAACCGGAAGGCTGACGGTTCAAATCTCCATGCCTGCAGACCACATGTCAAAGTGTCCTTGGGCAAGACACTGAACCCGCCAAGTTGCCTGTGATGACGGCGTGAATGCCCACAGCGGCCCGGGGCCCCTCAGTTCCAAATGATATTTTGTTGTACGTGTCACAATGTGAAAATAAAGCTGCTTCTTGTTATCATGTACCTCTGCCTGGAGCAACTCCTGTTCTTTATCTTATCTCAAAGGAAAGTCTTTAAGAAGCTCACAGCAAACAGGACCCAGTGTTTTGACATACTCTCTTGAGTTATTTTTTTCTGGCAACTTTCTGTCAAATTATTAGACATAAAAACTATGACAAAGCTGTTATAGCACCACAAAAATTATTTCATGACGTGTAATTATTTCCTATAATATTGCATCAGCTCCGTGCGTGTTAGGTCTTTATATCATGGCACCTCTGTGAGGCAAAAGTCATTACCAGGAATCTTGTACTTTACAGTAATGCCTTTGTGTGTAGACCTTTAAACCATGCCATCTTGCTTCTTTTGAAGTTTAATTCCATTGAAAAATACTGCTAGACTAATGGAAACGGGTGTGACACACACAGCCAGCAATTATGAATATGACTGGAGGTTATATAGTGAGAGGCATGAAAGGTCAAGCATAAAGTCATCAGTGTGCCACACAGAGAGTCTGTTTAGACTCTACTAAACTCAATTGTTATGGTTGTTTCTGTTGTAGCAAAATGGAATAGCACATGTATTACCAATGCATCTTATTTTTGCCTATAAAAAACACAAGTATCAATCAGGGCCTTGGAACACCCAAAATGATTCTAAGATCTGATCAGAAGGCAAAAGTAAACACTTTCAAGAGGGATATGACCAAAATGGGCATGCCCCGTTTGATTGCATTATACTAATAGAGCTGTTTTGGAGGATGTAATTAAGTGGCGTTTATAGTCATAGATTAAAGCATCCTCTAGATCACAGGCAATGTTAATGGAGTGATGCATTTTCACTGAAAACCAGATGGGAGCACATCTCAACAGAAGAAACTGGCTACAGTAGTGGCAGGGCTCTACTGCTGCCATGCAAAAGAGAAAACATCTTCATAATAAATGATTCACATGAGTAAGGGAAAGAAACAGTAAAATGTTTGTAAAAAAAGAAAATGAGGCAAAATAGCACTTCCTCTACATTTAATTTACTTAAATATGCACAAATCGATAGAAAACAAGTATGTGAGTTTACAGTGCCTTCATTTTCTTCATTAGCTGTTACTGTAATCTCTTTGTTAATGTCATTCATCATCCAATACAAGTATTCTCATATGTTACTAATATGTTACTGTCTGCTCCCCTCAGGGAGCAGACAGTCACTGAATCATGTTTTGCTTCCAGCACATTAGGAATGATCAGAAATGGACAGAGAGCTGAAGCAGTACTTGTATGTGGTAATAACTGAAACACTGTGTTTAATTGTAATTTATAAACCCCAGATACTGTATAGTAGCTTCCAGTGTAGCAAAAGTGAATGTAAATTCAAATATTGAAACAGAATACAGAACCTACATCATAGCTGAAATTAATCAGTTAAAAGAATGTAATATTTGCACAATAGAAAGATAAGACCTAAAGTATGTGAGAACATTAATACAGGTTTACTGTAGATACATATTATAACAATACTCTAGACACAGTTTGGTTAAGAAAGAGGAAAATTAGTCTCTCTCTTCATTCCTGGGTTGGTGTTTGTCAGGGGCCCAGCAACATCTTCAGCTGTAGTAGATACTGCTGATCTAAAGCAGAAACCTGTAATACTGCATCAGCTGAGTCCATGTTAGCTCTTTCTGTCATGGCACCTCTGCATGGCAGAAGTAAATGCCAGGTCAATATGTAGATCTCAGCCATGCTGTCATTGCCATTTAAAGGATAATGAGCTCTAGTGCAGTGGGATGTGGATCTCGCATGTGTTTGGGCCCCCAAAATGCTGAACTACCTGCCCTCAATATTAACTTTTCCAGCCAGGCAAATCAGACCTGAAATAGAGTAACATTATATCAGCAAATAAAGTACACTTTAGGGGCACATTTATAAATAGAGACCAGACCTCATGGTGCCTCCTCCTCACCATTGCCAAATAATCAAACCATACATGATATTAATTCATGCTGGGAATGGGATACTATATATTTCAGTACACACAGAAATTCATTTGACTGGCGCTGTATCTTGCACTTAATAAAAGTTTTTCTAGATAGCACATTGTGGGGGGGCTCTTGCTGTGCAGGCAGCTGCTTCACATCTGGAACTTAATATAAACATCATAGCCAATAAAATCATTCCATTTCCTTAATTACTATTCCTGTCATTTCCGCACTAAATGAAAAGTTATTAATTCAGGGCCAATACAAACATGCTTCTCCAATACAACGAGCTAGTCGTGAAGCGCCCCAGTTTGACTACAGGCCGCTGTCACTGGCCTGGAACCACAAGCTCCTGCCTCGCTTTGCCAGTGTGCGTTTGTGTGAGCGTGTGTATGGGGAACAGAAGCCAAGGCACTGCCGACATGAATGGAACAGAAGATGGCGTCTTGTTTTCCACCTCATCCAAATGTTCCCACTTGCGCCAGTATAATCATGACAGCCACGGCCCGTCATGGTTAATACCTTTCCCTTTTCCTCCACACTCCTCCTCTTGTTCTTTTGCTGGCACTCAGTGTGTTCAACACACAACATGCCACCATTCTCTCCACCCCATTTATGTTAATCTTCCCTACCCGCTATGTCAGTTTTCTCTGACATGGCTTGTTAACATAGGATAATGATAAGACTTTGGAGTGTTGAGAGGAAGTCTGTCTGTAATGTCACCAAAACAACTACAAATATTTACTGCAACTATATATGTTTTAAGGCAGAAATTGGGTCATATTTGATCAAGCAAATTTTCAGCTGACATTCTCAGGACAACACATTATTTTTAGCTGTCCCTAGCTGACAAAAGGTTCCCCACTGACTTCAAAGCTGCTGCTGCCATTAGACGTATCCAAAGGGCATGCATGAATAGAGTGAATATAGTGCTATTTAAGCAGGAGTCCTTGTAAATCAAGTCACATCGCATGCACCTTTGAGTCAGCACAAATACTGTGAATGTGTATCCCTAATGAGCTTGACTCAACAGTTACCATCTTCCCTTATATCATGTAGATCGTGACATATGTGACTTGCCACGATACAAGCTGCTCTGATTCCCACTGAAGCCATTTACAGGTCCAAGAGAGAAAAAGGGACATATACTTACACAAGAGATGCATGTATGCACTCAAATACCACCAGTTTTGTTGTCAATGCTTTTTCTCCACCACACACAATTAAAGTCCCAATTAAAGGCCATTATGGGTTTTCCACTGGCAGCAACCGCAGGGAGAACAGCTCCACAGCCCGTGCATTGCGGGCACACAGATGTCTCCTGTGTTGTCATCCAAAGGAACTCAGACTGATCCACAAACTTTATGATCATAATTACTGATCAAAATGAAAGTGAAGCAACAATATAAAAAAGTTTGAGCAATTCTGCTAAGTGGGGCCAAGTGGGACTATCAGAGGGAAGTGTTTGTGAGATGTTCTTCCTGAGCAGGAACGTATACTGAGATGATGAAAACAAGTGACTGGAGACACTTTATGTTATAGCCCATTAAGCTCCCATTTACCACAAGAGGGAGGTATTTTCCTGATATTTTACCAGAAATGACAGTCCTATTAAATCTCTGTGAGAATATTCAATACAAAGGCCACATTTTTAAGCTTATCCATGCTTATGCAATTGTGTCTCTGCCACAGTATCCAATATATTTCAGTTCTCACCACAAAAGAAAACACTGGTCTCCATATCTGCCACGAAGCTGCCATTCACCAAAAGGCCCACACACACGTTCATCGCAAGTATCTTTCCAAAAGTGTCATGGCTTTCCGTTTCTGGGCTCTTACCTCTTCCTCTTACCCAGTGAGAGAGTAGAGTGCTGACTGGCCAACTGTTGTTGTCGGGGCGTGACAAGAGGTGGCCAGTCAACAGCCTCTGCGGCATAAGTGAACACTCTTCTCTATCTGTCTGGGGCCAGATCAAATAAAAGACACACACAGACAA